GAGGCACTTGTACAATAATTCATAGATCGCAATTGGCAATAAATCGAATTCTCGGTGCTGAACCGAAACATGAGAATGATGTAAGAGATAAGCAACGATGCATGTGGTCAGCACATGATGACATTTGATAGTTGACAGATTCAGAGGGAGTAACAGGATCGACAAGCAGCTTTTGTCGAGAAGTTTTAAAATATTCTCCATATTTTCATCGAATTTATTCTCCATAGCGAATTAATTGAGAAAAAGATGATTCAAGGCTTTAACGATGTCAAAAATATCTAAACAAACTGTTAAAGTGTTTTACATTTTTAAATTGCCAAATTACCTGGTAACATTTAACATTTGTTGAACCGTCCCATGTTTAGTTAAGAAGGTCTCTTAAAGATGATTGTTAAGTCATCATTGTGTCGTAATGATGGAACGACATTTGGCATTACATGACCAACATAACTTCAGATGGCGCACGCTAGGCAATTGTGCAAGGATTTAAATACAATTTCGAGCTTATTTTCAAAATCAAATATGTTGTTTATGTAGTGATTTATGATCAATAATTTTTTAATTTTGTTTACTGTTAACATTTATACATAAGACTCACGCTGTAGTATTCAGCGTGAACAATTTGCCCCCTAATAATATCAATAAATAATCAATATCATAAATAATCGTTATCAATAAATAATCTATAGCCGCGGCGCCGACAATTAAACGGCAAAGCGAAGACGAGAAGGCGTTTTTTCGGCTAAGCTTTGATCAAAAAACAAAATTTTGCGGATGAAAACGAGACTCCGAACGAGAAACCATCTGTCAGTAACGATCATATTAATCTTACATCAACTATGCCTAACCGAATATGTTGATATGGTTCTGGTTTTCCAGATATTTTCGATGTTCAAATTACAAAATCAATTCGCTAACGCGATCATACATCAACGGATTGAATAATTCATCACAATTAGAAGTGCATTTTACCAGCGATAACAGCTACGATAAAAAAAGGAATCCGTGACAGCACCATGCAGTAACAGCACCAGCAGAAATCTGCATAACAAACGTTGCACTTGTTAACGAATTCATCGCAATATTCGTGAGAGTAACAGTCCGGAAAAGGAGTCAGACGATGGGAGCAGACTACCTATACTTGTTCAAGTACGATAGGTGTAATTTAAGGTTGTTAATTAATACGGCATGCAATATATCATTCGATAACGGAGTAATCTATTAAACGATATTGACCGCCAGAAATTTAAATCGAAGGATTTTTAGCGCATTTTCTCATTTATGAGAAAAAATGCGCTATTGTGCTCGTCATGTCTGTCAGTCCGTCCGTGACTTCACGTTCGAGAAAATGCGCTCTCTGTCACTCACTGCAGTGCACGTACTGATCTCATTTTTTGTGATTTTCTTCGTTTCGTCGCCTGTGTTTCTTTGATTAACATTATTGAACACGAGTTATATCTGCATGGTTGAAGCGCATATACGACAGTATCTACAGTCTACACTGCAGAGTCAGTTCGTTCCCACCCGACTTAACCTGGAGAAAAAAATCCTAGCCTATAGCACCCGAACGGTTTAGCATGCAGCTTTCTCCGCGCTGGAGATCGTCAGTGTCTTGAAAAATCAGAGCTTTCGAGCAAACTATCGAATATACAACCACAAAAATTCTCCATTTTTGTCCTTATGTTAACACGTTGACTACGAAGTGGTACATATGCGTACCACGAAATGTATTTCTCCAGGACGTAGTGGTACATAATTCAGGTTGCCTAAAATCGGCCAAATGAGAGAACAAAAAAGGTAATAAAGGCCGATAACTCAATATATACTAGTTTATTTGTAGGTTCCGCTATAAAAATTCCATTTATTTTCTTCTTGCATTATTTAAAATTTAATTAGGAATTACCCCTATCATAAATTTTAGCCGGCCAACGCAATTGAGAAAAACTAAATCACGGAATTTGTCCGGAAAAAATGACCGTCTGGCAACCCTGTTTAAAAACAGTACAAAAAATGAAATAATAGTACAAGATGAAGAAATCGTAGTCAACGTGTTAAGTTTAAGACAACCTGGTATAAAGCCACGCTGATGCGTCGCCTTTGTCGTCCTCCACTTCCAAGTCAATCAACACATAATGGGCAGTGGAGATCGTGGTTAAATAATTTAGAAGGTTTTGCACGTGCATGCAAATGGAAGCCGCCGCATCTAAAACATTTCTGGCTAAATACCACGACGATGTTTGCCACTTTCTTCTATTCAAGCAACCATCAGTAATCAGTAGTACAGGGCCGCTTTTTGCAGCTAGACTATCATGCTCGAGGCTATCGCATGCTTAGGATGCGCGGCGGCGATTTGCTAGCTATAGATACGGTACCGTACACTTTCTATTTTGTTCAGTAGGAATAATTGGTTTGAAAATTGATTATTATAGAATATTTATTATATTATATAGAATTAAAATTGTTAATTATATTATTTTTATTAATTATATATCAATTTCAATTATAAACATAGAATTGTTAATTATATAGCTTAATTATAATGGAATTATCATTATTTTGTTATAATTAATAATGTCACTAGATTTCTTTAATGGCAGATTCACTAGAAATTTAAAAGCGAAGAAAACATCACAAAAATTTAGCATATCTCTATTGAAAACGTTTTGGAGACCAGCTCCATCGTCAGTTCGATAAATCTAGAACACAAATAAAGTCAGAAAATTAATAAAGTTTGGAGTAAAAAAAACAGAAGTTAAAAACCTAAATTTACAGACAAAGGGCAGAATAATAAAGTATGTACCTATCTATTCACAATTTCTAATGGATAAGAACTGTAGGCAGCATTTAAACTAGACTTCTCTTTAAGAATATACAATGATTCTAAAATACGCAGATCGGAAGCACCAGAACTATAAGCTAAAACCTTAGTTTTTTACTCCAAACTTTATCAATTTCCTGACTTTATTTGTGTTCTAGATTTATCGAACTGACGATGGAGCTGGTCTCCGAAACGTTTTCAATATAGGGATATGCTGAATTTTTGTGGCGTTTTCTTCGCTTTTAAATTTGTTATAATTATATTATCATTATTTAGACTATAGACTTATAATTATTATAACAAGACGTGACCAAATTACACCTGACAACAGTATATAAGAAAACTACCGTATATTCTGGGAATTTCTCACTCTGTGTTTAAAAAAAAATTACAATAACGACCTCCGGAATTTAAAACTTATTTTCCAATCATAATATCATAACGACAGACTTGATAAATGAATCAATTTTAATAACGCAAGCAACTGCACTTGTCGTCGGGAGCTGAAAATCAGAAGAGCTTCAGACCATAACAATTCAAGAGAATGATCGAAGATAGGTAGTCAACTATGACGTACAAAATATAACGATTCGTCGGAAAGTTATAAGGAATCCTATAGGGTTATTACTAAATATGATAAAATAATAAACTGATGAATACTTCGCAATTTCGCATTCTTTGGTGAATAATATTTTGAAGCTCAATCGTCTTGACTAATGTCAGTGCACCTTTTTGACCGTTCCTAAGCCTTTCGAAACGTTCTAACGCCAGAAACTTACTGACACAACTTAAAACTTTTCAGCCTGTTGTCTGTCAATCAATACGCCCAAAAAGTAATCAAGAAAACAATATCATATACGGTAATGTTAGAATTTAATAAATCTCAAAAAATTCGTGGTGCGAATAAGTCAATAGAAGGATCACAGCGGTGGGAGAATATCATATTCGTATAAACCCAGACAGCGTGAATATTATAATCCGTGATCCATACATTTAATCCCAGTGATTAGGTTCAGTGAGTCCGAAAAAGCTAATGAAGGAACTGCGAAGCATCTCACAGAACATTGTGATGCAGCACAGGCACTAGTGACGTACTTCGAACGTAAGCAGCAGCTAAGCCTTTACTTGTTATCTGGAAGAGGCATCTGTTTAATCAAGTCTTGGCTAGAACTGAGTTTCACTCATCAACAAATGGTCAAGGCAGTTGCTAAATTAGGTGCTTGATATTCCAAAATACAAACGATCATCGTAACTTATAACGATAAAATTAGCAAATGTTTTAAATCAATGGGTTTAACTAAGCCTTGACTTGTTATCTGGAAGAGGCATCTGTTTAATCTAGTCTTGGCTAGAACTGAGTTACAAACATCAAATGGTCAAGGCAGTTGCTAAATTAGGTGCTTGATATTCCAAAATACGAACGAACATCGTAACTTATACGATAAAATTAGCAAATGTTTTGAATCATTGGGTTTATCACTTCCAGATCAGGGAACTATTTTCAAGTATTCGCTTACAAGTCACGATGAATCGGTAAGCATTGACGCAAAACTTTCAACGTACGGCATTGCCGCAACCAAATTGCATAGGACACTATGCATGTAATTTTATTCTATACCCTTGAGCCACAACCACAGGAATGACGCGCGATATCTTGCATTAAACAAAGTTTATTTCACGATGGGGCTAAAAACCATATGAATCTCAACGTTAATTAATAGAAGCCAGCAATCTAATTGAAAAAAACGCGGGGCTAAAAACAATATGAATCTCAACGTTGATTAATAGAAGCCAGCAATCTAATTGAAAAAAAAACGCAGAGTTGCAAAGAAAATAATTCTTGATTTCTTGCAGCAACATTTCCAGTGCAATGAAGAACATAGTCAGGATTACGCCCAGCCCAAGATATTATCTATACAAATTACAAAATCCAGTGTAATTGAAGCGTGAGATTCACTAAATGAGTGCATCACTACAAAAACATCAGTACTTGCAAAATACAAATATTTTCATTTTTGTTCCAACCCTAATGTCAATTTTAAAACGTTTCAGATGGATAACGATGGAATGTTTCAACCGTCTGAAACAGTCTTCAGCTTCTAAAAGTACTAATTAATGCCTTATATCACTATTAATCGCCTTATCAATATTAACATAAGAAACAGATAATGATCGTACTCACTTTAATTTTCTTGTACTTCCTCTTGCTTGCTGTGTTGAGATCGTCATGCACCTTGCCCAACAAGAACATGAGGAACTCAGCAGCATCGTGCTGGCTGCTGCCCCTGTAAGCCGCCTCATGTCTGTCCACACATGCCTTCAGCGCCAGAGATACGTCAGGAACATAGCGCAGTGACCACAGCGACTTCAGCACTCCTGCCACCTGAACCAACGTCAAAGCATGAGCTGAATAGGTAGTGTGTGCCCCATGGATACTTAGGACAGGATAGGAAAATTTGTGACTTCAGTACCCTGCCACCTGAACCAACGTCAAAGCATGAGCTGACAAGTCGTACCCCAGCGATACTTAGGGCAGGATCAGAAAATTTGTGACTTCAGTACCCCTGCCACCTGAACCAACGTCGAAGCATGAGTAGCCTAGTAGTGATAGTAGTAACCACCAGTACTTAGAGGGGATAGGGTAAGAATATCGGTGGCAATGAGGGATTACAAATGCTAGTTGGTTAAAGGCAAGATGAATGCGCGCTAATCTATCTTGTATGCCGAAGACACTGATGAAAGAAATTACGTGTCAGCATAACACACGCATCAGCACTTTTTCCTTTTGCTTTTAGATCAGCACTTTTTCCATTTACTTTTAGTATGAGATCAAATTATGGCTTAGAACAACTAATACAGCAAAATAAAAAAAATCATACAAATTTTCCGACAAACTTTCAATGGACTAAGGCTGTGACAGAGAATAAAAGAAGACATCATTAAAGATGCAGTACATTAAAGTAGTTATAATCCTTCAAGACTCGGATATTCGAGTCTTTTTTTTTATTTCGCAATTTTGCTTAATTGGTGTAATGCCATATAGGTACATGTGCATAACTGAAGCAAAAGATATAGAATTCTTAAAAGTGACGGATAATAAATTATGATAAAATGAAACTTAGGTGATTCATTTCTCTTCTCAACAACGCTGACCACGCTTACCTGTTCAGTCATCTCTCCTCTCCTAGACCCGTTGTTGATCTTCCTATTGCCAATCCTGTTGCATCGCTTAAGGTCTTGCTTGTACGTATCCCGAACGAAATATTCAGCAAGCACATCAGTGTGGTTCAGACACTGCATTATGGCGTTGATGAAACACGTGTTGCCATGGTTTCTGAGTCCCATTACGGCGGGTATCTGCTTCTCATCGAAAACAATATAATCTTTGGCAGGAACTGCGGGAACTTGACCAGGATTAGGTGTCTCGTTACCATTGGTACTGTGAGTTGATGCACTGGAATCTGATATCTTTTCTTCAGCAGGTACGGTTGGTGAGGTGGCTTTAGGACGCTGTGGTGGTGGTGGAGGGATTACTGAGGCGAGGGCGGGACCAGCGACCTGGACACGAGACGCGACTTTCCGGACGAAAGAGCCAACCCGATTGAGGTGCCGACGTTTGGGTTTCACTGAAGTGGCACTGCTGGTGTCACTGCCATCCTGACTGTCCCCACTGTTGTTATTATTACAGCAGTTGTTGTTACCACCGCTAGTTTCCTGAATGACTTCTTCGTTTTCTTTTCTCTTAGGACCCTTCTTAGTGAGCCTGAATGACATGAAGCTTCGCTTGCGACGAGTAGTGTCAGTGCGTCCGTTCATCAAAGCAGGTTTAGAAAATCTGAAACAAAAGAGAAAGTCAAAGTTATACAATAATAAACAGCGAGTATTATTAATCAAATTGAAATATTGAACCACAAAGAGTGGTTGTGCTCAGCCATCTCATCTCCATTACAGTGCAAATGACAAAATGGTCCTCACAATATGACTTAACTAGCCCTATATACTAGCTGCTGGCATACAACATTGAAGAGCATTTTATACGTTTTCAGAAACGCTCCTAACTCTTATTTGCACATCAAGTGCTGAATCCTTTCCATATTTCATGGTTCATTAAAATCAAACGCCATTGTTCATTTAATTTCTGAATTGCCAAAACAATTTACTTGAATGACAGAGCAGGATCAAGAAAACTGTTTTCCTGATACGAAAGCATCTGGATCAAGATTCACATGGAGGCATATTAAAGCCCAGATTGTTTCCATAGAGATAAAAATAATTCTTGCCCTCACAGTAAGGTATGAAACATTCCTTCCTAGAGATCTGATGAAGATGTCTTTGTATTTCTTGCAATGCCAGGAGATAAACTTAGATGAATACCGGTAATTCTGAACCTGCCCAATCAGTGTGCAGGTTATGCAGTGATGAATAAATTATGGAACCAAATATGCGTTTTATTAGGGATTTTAATGCTCTCTCAAGCATTAGAATGGAAACAAACCAGCAAAAATCAATTTCTTTTTTCCTTGTCATAAATCGTATATTTTAATATTCCACAACAAATAAAAATTAACCCATTCATGACAGATAAATAAAAATATTACCCCTTTAATGCTAGAGACAACTTTATTCAAAAGGATGACCATTCTACAAATGCATGGTTAGGAAAATATTTCAAAAGCTCTATGTACAAATGTATTATATACCGGGGTAAATACTCTACAAATAGTAGAGACCTATTCTATTTTTCATTTACGGTATCTGAATCTTGATACTCTTTTAAAATTTCCCATTCTAGACGATGCCACAATCATCAACAATGTCTACATGTATACACTGCAAATTTAAAAAAAAAACTTGCAAGTCACATCACTTTATAATACTAATTATGATTTTTACAATTGGATAATTTTATCTGTTGAAGTCCATTCCATGATGAATGATTGAGAAATGTTTTGTGCTTTTATTTGCAGTGTGTGCATGGACCAGAACAGTGGTGCACTTCCTTAATTTTAATTTTTTCACTTTGTAACTGGTATTTGTTGGCTGTTTCTAGGAAAACAAGAAATTTGCTAATTGCATTCATGAGTGGCTTGCAATCTTCAAATCCAATCCACTATATATTAAAAAGAGTCAAGGATTTGTCATTTTGTTAATGGAGTATGTAAAAATGAGCAAGCAGTTCTGAGAAAGGTGTGCCTTCTGTATTTAAGGAAAGCTTGCATTTGATTGCGCACAATATTTACTGATTAGAGAAGCAGTCCTTTCAGGAGTTAAGAAGGCACATAAATAAAGTAGGTGATATCAATGATGTATTATGTGTGGGTGTTAAGAATGCTAAGAAGGCAGGTTGAAGCAATGTTGCATGTACAAGACTCAATTGTTTGAGACCGTGGGAACAAGTTGGTTTATAACAAGCGTTGATGAGCCTATCGCGAGGGAAATGCCATCAGTTGAGAAATTTGGCATCACTTTGAGAGGTAGGCTTAACTGTGCGCAAAGTCTGCCCATATAGGGACCCTAAAATTTGCACAAAAAAGGTTGTTGTACTGTGGTGACATCACACCAGTACTGCCTGTGGCTATCTTGGGTGACAGCCATGTACTGGTGACAGCCTCTTAGGTGACAGCCATGGCCATCGGCCGGCAGGTTAACAAATAGCAGCCATGCAGAACTCCAAGATGTTCATACCACTACGACTACAAAATAATGTCAGAAATCTACAAGTAACGGCAGACTCTGCGTTTATGTACGGTCAACGTTCATTGCTACAGTTGTGACTTAGCCATGAGACATGAGGCCACAAGATGTACAACAATTATAATGCTGGCAATTATGAAGATTTGCGTTTTGAGCACTGCTCAAGAATTATATCATCAGTATGGTAATAAGCATGGCACAGTCATAAGCACAGCACAGTCACAGCTATTGTCAGTAGCAGTACAGTCACATCCAGAAGCAAGGCTGGGAAAGTCCTATTTTTTTCTGAAATACTGTGATTCTAATTGTATATAATTCAAGTAGGTATGAAATCTCACAGCTCTTATGTCATAAATTTTTGTTTGATCGGAAAAACTGCGGTTTGCACGGTAATACTTTAGATTAAGTGCATCCAAAAAAAGGGTGTTTTCTTTTAATTATATGTTTTTTGGGGTGTAGATTAAGAATCTGAAATCTGTTTTTGGCGGTCTGCATTGGAAATTTTTAATGGAACCTGTTCCTAACTGGACCTAACCTGTGAGGTTTTTGTCGATTGGACGGAGTCCAAACATAGAAAAAACCTAGCCGATCAACGAAAACCTTGCAGGTTAGGTCTAGTTAGGAACAGGTTCCATTAAAAATTTCCGATGCTGACTGCCAAAAACGGATGTCAGATTCTTAATCTACACCCCAAAAAACAAATAATTAAAAAAACACCCTTTTTTGGATGCACTTAATCTAAAGTACGTATTACCATTTGCACTTCGCAAACATGTTGTTTAATGAAATTATAAACTGTTGCAATCCACAGTATATAGGTATACTTCAATGCTCCCGCCAAAATAACATGCAGAACGTAATAACAAGTCAACTCAAAACAGTTCCTCCATGAAGATTGCATAGTTGCACTTACGTCAGAATGGTCATGCTGCATTATCACTTGTACAGTTGCCGCTTAAGTGAAGGCAAATGCTAGAGACTGTTTTTTGTATGGGACTTTGTAAATAACATGGGTTTTGTATGCATGGGAGTGATGGGACTTTGTGAATAACAAGTTTGCAGGTCATAAATGGCTTTTCACGGGCAAGATATGGAATTCACAGCTCGAAGAAATGGAATCACGTCTGGCAAACCCATGAAGCCACGGTTTGAAAAATCTAGCCGCGGCTTGCCAAGTAGATATACTGTATTCCATGCCTGACCAGAAGCAGCAGAAAATAGTGACAATGAGCATGCAATATGGTAGTGACGATGCAATGGTTGACTTTTTCTGTGATTTTTCAAATTACAACAAAATTTGTCAATTTTCAGCTGCAACATATCAGAATTAAGTTGAAAAATTTCAATTCTTTGGAAACTGGTCCAATTTAGAATATTCGAGCAGAAGTTTTCTAAAATTGTTGGTAAAATAGGTTTTTTTATTTTACAAAAAGAAATTGGTAAAATGACTAGGTGCAGGTATGGAATATATCTACTTGGCAAGCTGTGACACCACTGTGCAGAGAGTGGATGAATATTGCAAGAACTTTGGCAATGCTTCAGTAGCAAAATTTACGCCTTCAGAAGATCTTGCCGAAACATTTAGATTGAAATTCTTGCATTTAATATATTTGTCACTCTTCGGCCAACTATTTAGAAAAAAGTAAGGTTACCGGTACGTTGGATGGATCAGGATGCAGTAAAGCTTGTCAGGAAATCGGTTGCGATGAGTTTCCACCAAAAAATGTAAACAAAATGTAGTTGCAGTCACATTAGAGCGGTCAGACACACAGACTGCATCATCACATGTTCAGTTGACACTTGCTGTACAATTAGACGGTTTTTAGGGTAAAATTAGTTATTTGAGATAACACATGCATGCAACCTTGTAAATAAGTTTGTGGCTTGTAAATAGTTTTTCATTAAATGTAAATGGCTTTTCATTAAAAATTACCCGGCGACGCATCTTGAAAATGGTTGGCGATGCTTTGGGTTTAAAAACCCATATATTTGCAATGCTGCTTCCACCTTCTGCACCCTGGCTGTGACACAGTGACAGGATTTTTCAAGCCGTGGATTCATGGGTTTGCCAGCCGTGATTCCATTTCTTCAAGCCATAAATTATATATCTCAGCTGTAAAATGCCATTTAAGAGGCACAAACTCATTATTTACAAACATAGTGACAAACCCAAACCACGGATTTTTTAAAATCAGTTCATTTTTAATTTCCTCATTTACTCATGATTCAAACTCAAACCAATTATGACAGGACTCAAAAATGAACTTGAGGGAGAGTCTAAAAAACTCTCTGCTTTGCCACTATGTAATTACAAAATCCCATGCATGTGTTACTCCACATCTCTAATTTTACCTAAAAATAGTCACTAGCTTTGGTCTTCACTTAAGCAGCAACTGTACAAGCAATAATGCAGTCTGATAGCTCTGACATGCCTGCAAGTACGCAATCTTCAAGGAAACATTTTAGATTGACTTGTTATTACGTTCTGCATGTTATTTTAGAATTTGGCAGGAGGCGCCGAGGCGGGACAGGAGCATTGAAGTATATATACTGCGCATTGCGAGAGTTGAAAATTTTATGAAACGACATGTTTGCCTAAGTGCAAACCATAATTTTTTCAATCAAACAAAAATTTAGGACATTAGAGCGGCAAGATTTCATACCTACTGAAATTATATGATATTATAGCTGCAATATTTCAGAAACAATTAGGATTTTTCCAGCCCTGACTAGGCCTAGGTGGAAATTACCAGCAAAATAAGCAAATAATTTTATAACTTTAGAGTTTAGCTATTTTTCCTTTGTTTCAGCTCTGAGGCAAATAAAGAGATGGTCCGTTTGAATTAAAAATATTTTTACCTTAAATATCAAGTTCAAACTGTTCAATTCTTATTAATCATTCATTGTACTAAATACTAAAGGTCATGTTCTTATCAACATTTTAATGACTTTCATTTTGACAGTCAAGTTACTTACCTACCAACTGAAAAACCTAAATTATTGACTAGAAAACCTACCAACTAATGACTGGCATGTTGACAGGTGACCATTGAGATAATATTACAGCAAGTCTTAAGGCTTGTAGTCAAAATGCAGCGAAGTCTGAGAGGGAGGTTTTCGCAACCATGGTGTAAAATCCTTGATCTGCCCAAAGCTTGGCCAGTCGCAACCCTCCAGCTTGTACTCTTTGTAATATGATATCCTAGCCAGACCCTTCTTCGCAGCAACTGGTCGCTTTCAGGCAGCCGAGGAAATGGCCAACAGTCGGCTATAACTAATTGGACTAGGCCGACCACTGGCCACGTATTATTCTTCGCCCCTCATTGACTTCGCCGGCTTTACCATGCCACCCGTTGTGAACTAACAGTTGAGTAATTTATGACGTCTCTTTCCCCTCAAACATTGCACAATGTCTCCATTTGAGCAGCTAGTATGCGGGATTTTCCCTCCGCCTATCAGCAGACTCGAGCATAAATATTTTTTGGTAGAAAATATCTATAACAAGGAAGCTGATCAAGGAATGCCAAATATACCATTCAATTGACAATAAAAATTAGGATAAACGCGGTATATTCCGACATCGTAGGTAATTCCGTCACCTCTCCAGCTTTTCCTTTATATTAAGCTTTGTTTTAGTTCCATGCGTTCATTGATGGTTGAAATGGTGACGTCATACATTTGCGTGTCGAAATACTGCAAAAACACTAGGTTCTGTTACTGTCAACTTTCTTTTAATCCTGTAAACAAATTTGTAATATTTTACACAATAATCTAGAAAACGTAATATTCATCACTATACACTAAATACTGAAATTTATCTAATCATAATACCAGCCCAGCAGAAAACTTACCTGTCAAGAGTATGGGCTTTCATATGGAGTATTGGTTGACCTGGAGCATCACCAGTTGGAGTAGTTCCTGCACTGACTGGTATTTCACGCGACAGCTGTGAAGCTGAAGCAGACCGAGCGACCGGCATCTTTAATGAATCCTTATCAGACTGTTACCAGATTAAGGAAACACAAACACTACACCATAACTTGCACTTTACGAACTTACAACACGACGACAGGTTTGGCAGTGACAAGTCACGGTCGCGTGGACCACACCACTCCCGACGAACATTCACGGAGCACTAAGGCTGGAACAGGCTAGCCAACCGAATTAATACGAATACCTAGAGAGTAAAATTTTGAACATATTCTGGAACAAAATCTTTTGGATTACATATGATGTGTTTATAAGACAAACTTTGAGATAGTGCACCGTTTGTATATGAGAAAATAACGAATTGTTCAAATATTTTCATATACAGATTTTCATTTAGTTTCGTTAGTTACTTACATTACCATAAATGGAATATAATGTATAAAAAAATAGATTATGATAGATTATCGACTGGATCTAAATTCGAATTATTGTTGGAGGAAATTCATTATATTATTTTTTATGATGTTGGTTTCATATTGTATGGTAAAAACGACACGTAACAGCCAGTTATTGAAGCGATACATATGGACATTCTTTCAGGTTTGGATTTTTGCCTGGACAAACCGTCAAATTCATCCCATGTAACATTTACAAAATGATTTTAAATAGTAGTTTAATTTGAGTCATGTTGAGTAATGCTAGAGTCTGAGACAGAGCTAGGAAGTTATATCAAAGTAAAAAGTATAATGAAGAAAGAAGAAATTATTCTTTGCACAATGTTGAAATGCAATAGCAGCTGAAGGATTTCGTTGCAACGTTTGATACCCTACACCAAGCCACTTCTTTCCCACCAGACTGAGACTCTCACGCTCCCACCTCTGCCGGCAAACTTCAATCTGCTTATAGTTTACTTAGGTATAAAATCAAGCCTTTATTACACAGGCCCTACCGAATCTCAACCGCCCGCCGGTCAACTTTGCGTTAAGAGAAACACAAGGTAGCTGTTTAGCGCGAAACAGCTTATTGCAGCAATTCAGAGTAGACCCAAACGATTCAGAGTAGCAGCATTACCGAGCGAAATAGCTCATAGTAGCGGCAATTCAGAGCGAAACAGCTCCAAGTAGCAGCAATACAGAGACTAATGGCTCTGTTGTGAACACAACATTTGCTTTAGAATGGTAGCTTAATTCCGTGGTCTTGCGGAACATTTTCGCTCATTAGTCATTTGTCAGCTGCAGAGTAAAGACTGAACTATCAGGAACGAATTTTGAAAAGTCTGGTTCTCTTGTTTTAATATTTCTTTGTCGTTTAGAAAGCCATTGTAATTACTTTATTATTTGCGAATATTGTTTATAAATTTAATAACCTTTTGTTTTTGTATAAAATTTTATATTTGTACTGGTTTCTTTCCAGAAACCGTGTCATCTGGGATTATGAAGCAAAAGAATGAAACCTGATGCACGCGTATTCAATTAATCCTGCCTTGAAAAGCAACAAATAGTCCGCAACAGCTCGGAGTAGAAGCAATATAGAGAGAAACGGCCGAGTAGCTGCAGAGCGGCGGTCTACTGAAGAAGGTGTGTCAACTGACGCCGCGGTCTGCTAAAGAGAGCCTGCTGTCGGACGCCACGGTCTACTGAAGGTATTTTTCTTTTCCTAGGGAATAGCATGAGTGTCCAAATTGATGACGAGGAGGCAAAATCTGTCGGATTAAATATAAAATTTGCATAGAAATACAACTGATTTGTGTTGCACCTTGGCTTCTTCTGGATTTTATAGCCAAAGTTGATTTTTATATCCAATCATCGATTTATACCTCGCGACTACAGTAGTGCCGGGAATCGTATCAATAATGTATTTAACAATGTACCCTGAACAATTCAACCCGTTACCTCCAGACATGAGTAACCGGAGCAATATTGTCACAAGCCTACTTCCCAAAAAAGAATACGTTCTAGTGAGCGCAAAATGTCTTGCACCGATGGTTGCCGCCACGTAGGACAACTTTAAAAAGTTCTCTGTTGCGTACAAACGTCCTCACGTTGCTACACTCAATAGTTTACGTACAATTGTATGTTCCCGGAGAGCAATATACGGCGGTAGAGGGTTAATCAGACATATTAATTAAGAAAAACAGAGCAAGTTAACGAACGTTCTTTTCCGATACGAACTTCAGAAAGGATGAATGAAATTGGAGTCATTTCTTGATAGTGTGCGAAGGGAATGAGACTCACCTTATATTGGTTTGAACTGAGGTAGAGGGCTGGATATTTCATCAGTTATTGCAATATAAATTCCATGCGAGGGATCATTTTACCCAATTAGCTGCCGTCAACGGACTTCATAAAACCTATCTGAACTTCAACATTTGGAATCGCGAAAACGATACATTTTTTCCACTCTAATAATTAAAAGAAGCAGTGGAACCTATGACATCAAATAATGAGATGAAAAATGTAATTACAAATTTTATGTTATAGACTCTTAGTAATAGAATATCTTAAAATGCATACAGCAATGATGCTAATGAATATATATAATAAAACGTGGTTTCTTTTCAAATTTGAAGAAAAGATAAACCAAACACGTTTTTTTCTGCAGTGCAGAAAAACAGCCCTATTTTCCTTGCTTTGACAGTGATAGCAAACATCCTCCATTGCACTGCACATTTACTTAAAACTTTTTCGCTATCCTGACACTGCCGTTGGCAGTCATGCATGCCAGCGGCTAGCCACGTGTCATTCTTAATGACTCGCATAATGCAATCATTGTATAATGCATACAGTTTATATGAATAATTAGTATTAGATGGCAGAATTTAATTGTTTATACACGTGCGATTGATGACCAGAGAATTAGTTGATTTATATTATCAGGGAATGGAACTTTTCTTCAGATGACGGTAGATCAAAAGGCAGGTTTCAGGAAGTAGTTTTTGTTTATTAACGACGTTTCGAATGCAACAAACATTAATTTTCAAGTTAGAAGAAGCATTAAATATTGACATTTTGGTGGAAATAAGTACATAATATAAGTAAATAGGATACAACAGTAAAGTTTTTGGACTAAAAATTACTCGGAAAACTCTTTCAGAGATTTATATTGATCTGAATTTATATGAATAATGTACAATCCAATCATTGCTTTTCCTCAGAGGACCATTGCGACTCATTAATCGTGCTCAGTGTTGAATTGGGAACTGCATTTTAGTTTTTGTACGTCACTGTTGAAGAGCCAGTCTCGCAGATGTACGAAGTGGTGATGGCAATTAATAACTGCATAAATCCTACCCGAATGATTCAATACTCTAGTCTAATCCACAGAAATAAATCAATGTATGTAATTGTAATGTGATTTACCAATGTAATGCTCAGCGTCAGGTAGGAAGTGAGATTTGATTCACTTCATAGTGACTGAAATCCGTAAATACCCCAGACGAAACAAAAAAACGAGAAAACAACTGTCAATGCAAATTAAATTAGTTAATATGTTAACATAATATAATTTCTATTAAACTAGTAGCTAAGAATTAGAGTTTGGCGATTCTTTTGACACAATAACGAATTTAAAAAGAAGCTATTCTATTGTATGATCACTTTTGCGAGCTGAACACTCGTGTACCTAAAGCGACGAAATTGTCATATCTGTTTCATATCGAATGTTCCTAGATATAAATGGGGAATTTCTGGGGAATTTTCAGTAGTTACTTTATGGTCTACTTAAAGGCCTGATAGGAGGAGCTCGATTGCGTGTATTCAGCATGGGCGTAAACGACATTAAAAAAAAGTATTCTTTAGAATTCAAAGCTAATTACAAGTAAGATGCTTTACTTTGTTCCTTGAAAACTACGTTCTATGTTTACTAATGAGCGGTAGTGTGTCTGTGGGGCACAGAAAAGAAAACAAAGCTTATCGGACTCTAGAAACGCACGTGAAACCCTTATCTTAGTATCAAGATTTTATACCAATTGTTTGATCGGTGATTTCCGCCCTACACATCCAGGAAACGAATGCCATAAACGACCAAAAATTGAATGTGAATCACAATTGTTACATCTTACCCTCAGGATGAGCACAGAGCAGACATCGCACTGATGAGGGTGGCCCAGTGGTTAAAGTTCAGAGTACCAAGATTGTGGCAGCGAGGCGCGGGTTCGATCCCAGCTCTGTGCGCCAGTTTCTGGTCAGAATCTGCGAGGAGGCCGGGCGGTTAAGCAACGCAGAATTGAAGCAGTGAGTTGCGTGTTCGAGACCGCAAAATGTTGTGAATGTTCTGCGATGTTAAGAATCGGCGACAGGCCTACGGCCTAATAAACGCTGAAACCGCTATTATCATTGTGATACGTCTTGTTCCTGGGCCAAACTGCATGGGTAAGGATGACCCACTCAAGAGCCAAAAATGCATTGTTATTTTGCCCATGTTTCACTTATTTCTTTGAGTGAAGGCTGTGCAATGACCACTCGTGATGCGAACTGAAATTGTAGCAAATAGACTATATTTGGCTACGTATTCTTCGGAAAGGCCTCGGTAATCGTATTGCAGAAAGCTTAATAATTTCTTAACTCAATGACTGCGACTCGCAAAATAGCCTTTATTGCATTGATGCGACTCATTCAAACTTGAATCTTTAGTTACAGACAAGGCAGTGAGATGAGGGCTAGTGCGCTGCTCTTGTCTAAGCAAGTTCTACAAGCTTCTGACATAAAAACCGTGAGCCTCTATTGTCTATTGGTGCACGTCGCCTGGAATGGAAACTTTCATCTTTCCATAGGCATTTATTTCCATTTATATTTACACGGCATTTATTTTACAACTACAATAAAAATTTGCATCACACGGGTACTAACGCTTAAAAAAAATTTCTGAGCAAATGGAATCGGAATGTAACTGCAATACTCAAACTACAAATCATTCTGTGGTAAAATGCTGCTAAATTGGAAGTTTATAATTAATTTAGATGTTGTCTTACATATCTGCTCTAAACAAAGCATGAATTAAGTGGTACAGACAACTGCTCAAGTTATTGGCAAAAAACGCTGTAGCAAATGCCTGGGTGCATGGTGATCAGTTCTATAGTCAGTAAAAATCGATGTGAATTGCTGAAGTCGTTGAAGATTACTGAATGTATTGTCACTAGTAATAAGTCAGACGTGAAGAAATGTTTCTATAGTAACCAAATCACAATTATTTTAGATGCTTGC